GAAACAACTGCACACAAAGGTTTTGTAACCAATACAACAAATGAGTAATATCCACAAGTGCATGTGATTTGATTTCATTCATTAACCAGGGAGTGGAAGGATTGATTATAATTAATCAATATTTAGGTCTCTTTCTTACTAGGAGCACTCATTCTGGTTTTGCAGAAGAAGCTTCAGCAATGCCCCTGGAAAGTGATAGTTGGGCATTGAGCCTGGTTTGAGAGGGCAGATCTGCAGACAGTGGGTGCCAGCCCACTTGCTAGCTGGCCGTGGAGAAGTGGCTGTTTGGCTAACTTGGCTCTTTGTTTCCAGTTGCTAAATCACAGCAGGGACAGATGAAAATAGAAAAATACTTTTCTGCTATTATTCTCCAAGGAGAATAGAATTACCAGGGAATAGAGTTACAATTCGAAATGCAAACCCAATTCCTTACAGAAAACATTCTACACTGTCGAAGTGCTCAGAAACCCTGGTACTGTGAACCCTTTTCATCTTGGATTTACAGAGAGATTTCCCAATCCTCTTCATTTCGCTTTGCTACAGCCTATATATCTGGTTTGCATCTCCTGGCCACGTTTTGTACTTTTCTGGCTGCCACATTCATTAAGTTTCCAAGAGCAGCTGATTCTTAGCACGCAGTAATTCTTGTGAGCCTGCTGAGAAGCTGACAGAATAAACCTTGCTGTTTGTTTGTTTAATTCCTTTCACTGAGCTTCAGGAATTAGTTCCTAAAGAACTCAAGCTTCCAGGTGCTCACTTTAACACGCAAACATTTCCTAACAGAAACAGCTCCCTTTCATTTTCTGTATGCTGTGTTGAACAACCTTTATAGAACACTAAAGCTGAGGATAGTGCTCATTGGCATTTACAAAGGTCTGCTTTGCCCTAGACAAAAGCATTTAGAAAGTGGTAGTGGAAAGGCCACATGTTTTTTGTTGTTGGCAGTGGTGGTCAGTTGTTGGGGAGGGTTATTTTGTATTTCAATGAATACAGGTGCCATTTATTACATTTAAAAATGCAATGAATCCACTCCTTTTGCTGAAGATCTTTCCCTGTTTTATATATAAAATGCAAACAAATCTTCAGCACAGAGAACAGCTTAATAAATACACATATGCTCATGCTCTGTAGCTTTCTGTATGGAAATGTCATTATGGCAAAGATGCTAACTGACTTTGAAAGCTTAGCTGTAAACCTATATCCCTGAGGGATGCTTTGCATCTTACTGAGCCAAAGTGACTGCTGCTGAGTTCTCAGACAGCACTGCTTCCACCCAGAATGACGGTTCAAGGTACAGGTAGAATTAAGGAGTTAAACTGGGATGCATTTTCATTGGATCAGTGTACATGTGTGTGCCTGTGTGTAGAAACTTGATAAACTACATCTTTTCTTTGCAACACAATCGTGCTGGATTGCCTGACAGAACGTTAAATGAAGAGGTCTTTTAAAGTAACAACATGAATCAGAGCTAGTTTTAACAACCCATTGCCTGCCCATATCCATTCACACAGTTTTCCCTGGGAAGACTGTCTTGATGTTATCCAGAGGTATGCCAAAAGAAATCAAACCCAAGGCTCTTACAAAGAAGGCCTCATCAGCTAATCTCTGCCTTCCAATCCCAGAGTTTCAAATCCTGCCCTGGGAGGAAGGTGCCAGATGGCCCCTGAGATAACCAATGCTGTATTATTTAAGGATTCATCAAGCAATAGACTTAGGAACACTTCTGCTAGATAGCAACTAGCCAGTGAAGACCACAGAGTATGTAACCATACAGTTTAACCTGAAGTGAGTAATAGCACACTTGGTTTTACTGGGACAGTACAAGTGCTTAAACTTAACTCCATGTATGCTTGAAAGAGCGCAGCTCCAGCTCGAAAAGTGTTTTAAGTTAGCTGAAATACCCCTAAAAAACTGATGGGGGTAGTACTAAAGACAGTGCAGTTGTAAATATAAGCACGGCTGTTGCCAACAGGGCTTTTCCTTAAAAATTTTCATTTTGAAAGGGAAATAAAAGTAAGGTTTCATATTCTTTCTCCACAAACCTTCCTGGCTGAGGGTTCACCCACTTAGGGCATCCTCTTTACTAAGAAGATATTCCGTAACATCTTTACTAAGATATTCCTCCCACTGTCTCTGAGAAGAGCTAGATTCCTTGTAACTTGGCCTCTAAGCATCAGTACAGAATGGGAAAGCAGAGCTACAGTTAACTCCTTGTTTGCTAGCAGCCAGGCAACTCCCCGTAGTAAAAACTCCATAGCAACCTGGTACCATGGTGCCATGCTTTCAAGCCGAGTTAGTCAGGTTTCTACAAGTTAATGGTACATCATGTTCCCATTCACTTTTCAAAAGGTCTCACTTCTGGGTAAAAAGGTGCTAAGAAGGAAATAAATCTCTTATGATTGAATGAAAAGAACTGCAAGTGTGACTTTTAGTTAAATCTGCTCCAGAATGTTGCTTCTTTGTTCTGAATAATGATTGTGAATGATAATGAGCTTTCTTCCAAGTCAAATTAGAGACACGCGTGTGGTTTTGCAGAATCAGTGCTTCAGTGCACACTGAGGGCTCCAATTTAAGAGTGGGAATAGCTTGGCATAAAATTACTATTCACAGCATTCTCTGCAGAGACCTCAGACTTTGATGAATTGGGTTTGGAGCCAGTAGCTTATAACCTGGCATCATCACTGTGTGCCTTTAAATACACTCTCAAAACCAGGAGGTTCAGAAGCTGACTCAGAGCAGCTCCGGCAGCTGTGTAGGAAGCAGTATGTGCAGAAAGCAGGGAAGGGCAATCTCCAGCCTTCTCAAACGTAGCTATTTCAGACTGACAGCCAGTGCTCTTGCTTTTGGTTTTCTCTCCAAACACCCCAGTCCCACAGGCCTGCATGCTCCAATGGTTTCCCACGTAATGCCACTAACTTTGAGTGGATGTTAACTCAAACATTACCATTGCAGTTTGGGAAGCTCTAGCTGGTCTGTAGAGCTGCTGCCGATTCTGTTCTGAAACAGAAGAGTTACCTTAAAAAGACAAAACAAAACTCAACAGCTAAAACCACTTCTCATTTATTGAAGAGAATAAACCAGCTTGTTTTTGTTTGGCTGACTCAGATTTCACCGATGTTTCTGTTACGAGCGATACACGAAGATACGGTCTGGAAATATCTCCCAGTGCAATTGATATGAAAATCCTATCATTGCAAGCCTACACCTATTATTGACCAAGGTCTTCGCGTCATGAATTTCAGCTGCCAACAGGCTTTTACAACATAAACAGCAATGAAAGCCACTGCAAAGCCCTGTAAGAAGAAAATACTTGAAGAAGAAAAGATTTTAAATCTCAGCACTCAGATAAAGCTCTTCATTAACAAAATTCAAGCTATTTAATTGATGAAACTTTAAGGCAGCCTCTTTCACACTGGGAGCATGCAGCAAGGCTTGAGTTGCCAATAAACAGTGCACAGGGGACAGTGGGCAGTGTCAGCTTCTAAAAATGGGTGCAGAAGAGAATGACAGCTGGTGGAAGGCAGGCAGGAACAGAGGAACACACCGACACAGGGTCCAGGCCTGAGTGCTCTTGATAGGAGCTGTGAGCCATAAGGCAAACCCTGAATTAACCAGGTGAGGAACGCAAAGGTATTTTTACTGCAACAAACCCATGAGTTGGCAGTTTGAAAGACAAGCGCCCAAAGACTGCCATGTTGTCTGTGAAATGGATTTGGTCATAGATAAAGAACTACAAAGTCTACACACCTGCAAGAAAGATAACAGCATATTACGCTTGTCCCCTGCTATTTCTAGCTATGCTGTATCCATAATTGAAATTAAAGTATATAGGAAGGGAATTCTCTTAGAGAACTCTTCATCCCTCTATTTTGAAACACTGAAGATGACTTCCCAAAGGCAAGGAAGTCGGGAGATGCACAGGTAATAATCATACATTAAAACATTGCGCTGACAGAGGAAAGTAAAAAGGAAGGAATGACAGAAGGAAACACAGACAACAGTTTCTATTGAACAGGCTTCCACAGTCTCAGTCTTCTTTTATGTTTGCATAAAGCTATAATCTACACTTGGCTTTTGATTTATGGCTTATACATATAAAGATTAAGCTCTAAGTCATGAAGGCATTTAGCAAACATTTCTGGTTACCTTGCAGTATTTATGTCCTACCACAGCTACTGAAACTTGAGTGTGTATTTAAAATATACAAATACTTATTTGCTGAATTGGTACCTAAAACCATGCAGTAAGAAGAAATGTGCTGATGTGCATAAAACTTCTATGGGAATGACTACAGCCGAAGGCATCCCACATGTATGGAGCTCCAAAGGGGGAGCTGCTCCCACATGGAAGCGGGACGGAGCAGCAGTCAGACTGGCACACACCACCGTGATTCTGACGTGCTGCTGCAGCCTCGGGTCTCATCTCTCGTAGCTCAAAGCAGAAGCAATGAGTTACTCCATAAACATTCCCTCCTGGAAAGCTCAGCACGTGTTTGGCCGGGGCAGTTCTGTGCCTTCAGCCTACAAACGAGACTGTGAATCAGGGGAGAAAGTGAGCGCTATGGTAACGCGGATATTCTGGAGCCGAACTCAGCCGGAGAGGCACGGAAGCCACAACACGTGGATGCGCGGGGAGTGAGGGGAAACACAAGGCAGCAGCACTTCTATAAGAGGCACAGACCGCCTCGCTCGCTGCTGAACCCCCTTCCCGTAGCTTCCCCCCATAAGGAGCATCCCCCGTCCGGCGGCTAACGGCTTATTGAAAGCACCCAGGGGGCTGCTGCGCTCCCAGCCACACCGGAGGACACCAAAGCCGGGTCCCCGGCTTGACCGCGGCCCGACTGAGGCTGGGCGCCCGCGACGGGAAGAGAACCGGGTCCCGGCGGCAGCTCCTCCCCGCCGCCGGTCACCCATCGAGAAGACCCACGCTGCACAGGCAGCAAAGACCCGCCCACCCTCCGTGAGCAGGCAGGATGACGGCGGAGGCGCGGGGAGCACTCGGCGGCAATTGAAGGCAGAGAACAGAGGCGTGTGGAAGCTGCCTTCCCGGCGAGCTCGGCCCAGAGGCGAATCCGGCCGATGACAGCGGGCTCGGCGCGGGCTGGCGCAGGCGAGCCTGGCTGAAGGGGACGCGGAGCGAGCGAGGCGGGAGCGGGGCAGCGGCTTCCCAGAGACCGGCCCTGCCCTGAGGAGAGCGGGAGTCCCGGCCGTGCTGCCCCCACCCGCCGCGGGAAAGTTTGGCGCCCGCCCGCCCGGCGGAGCGGAGTTGTCGCTGGGTTGGTTTGTTTGTTTTTCCCTTCCCTTCTCCCCCTCTTCCGCTCCTCCGCCGGCCGCCGCTCCCCCCCGCCTCCCCGGCAGCCGGCCCGGCGCCCAGAGGAAACGCCGAGGGAAGCAGGAACAGAGGAGCCAGGCTTCAGCCCGGACCCGGGAGCCTCCCGAACGCCCGCCGCCAGTCCTTCTCTTCCCCTCTTCCCGGCCGTGTGGTGTGCGCGGGCAGGGGGACCTGGGTCTGCCGTTCTCTTGGATTTTGTGGGGGTTTTGTGGTTTTTGTTTAAGCCCTTTTTTTGGCCGCCCGCTTCTTCTTCCGCTTTAATATATGCTTCTGGAGTGCGACGTCCCCCCGCGCCGCCTCACCGCCCAGCCATGTCGGCGGCCATCTCTGCCGCGGAGAAAGTGGATGGCTTCACACGGAAATCGGTGCGCAAGGCTCAGAGGCAGAAGCGCTCGCAGGGCTCCTCGCAGTTCCGCAGCCAGAGCAGCCAGGTGGAGCTCTCGCCGCTGCCCCAGCTCAAAGGTACCCGTCTGCGTCTTTTCCCCCCTCCTCTCCTGCGCACCGCAGCCCTCCGGCTACAGGTGCCGGTGCCCTCGGTCGCCCGGGGCTGTCTTCTGACACCGCTCGCGTGCCCCGCGCTGCCCTGTGGCCGCCTGCCCTGGCTTGGCCTCTTCTCTGCACCCTCTGCCCTTTAGCCGTGTCCTCCTCCGCTCCCGGTGCTTTCCCGGGTGCTTCCTCTACTCATATAAATAGGTGTTGTACAGGTTGGTTCTCCTTTACTGCCCCAGGGACTGACTCGGCTAGCTCGCCCCCCTTTTCCTGAGTAATTTAGGAGGAAGCGTAGGGCGGGCAGGTTTGCTTTTTGAGGGCTTTCTGCGGAAGATGTGGACGGTAAGTTGAGTTCAGGAGTGCTGGCAGTCTTGCTCCTAAACCTCGGAGCGCGTGGTGGCTCCTCCCACGGGGGGACTTTGCAAAGAGGAACTCTGTGCCTGTGGCATAATATGCTGATTTACCGGAGAGAGTTGGCGTTTGGCTTCTAGGTTCCTTTCCATCACTTTTGGGTAGTATTTGAATGGCGTCTTGGCTTATTTTAATGATCAGGAGTTGCCTCAGAGGCCTTCTCCTGCATAGTGGTGTACTGGGAGCACTCGCAAGTGAATGGAAACTGTAGATGCTGGCACTGCTGACAGTAAAGTAGGTAGTGCAGGTTTTATCCTTTGTACGGGAGCTAAAATCTGAAAAGACTCGGTTTGTTAGATTGCAGAAATAAAACAGAAGCTAATTGCAACATTTGAGCATCAAAATAAATTTGCCGGTATTTCTTCTTTTAAAAAGTATCGATTAGCAGAGAATATAAACTGTTTGACAGGGACTTGGGAAATAAGGGAGAGAGATTACCGTACCGGAACCCAGCGTATTAATTTTACTTGCACAAGTGTTAAAGTCTTATGTTTTTTGAAGCTGCATGGACAAGTTCCTGTGTGATGTACTCTAGGTTACCCTGCTCTTGCAGGGGGGTTGGACTAGATGATCTTTTGAGGTCCCTTCCAACCCTTGGGATTCTGTGATTCTGTGATGCTGGAAAAAGTCTGATGACTGGCAGCAAATACCCAAAACCTGAATTAAATAGAGCAAACTTAAAAATCTTGCAGGATACTGTGTATTTTTGTTTTCCTGTTTGATTTCTATGGCTTTTACTGCCCTGTCTGTAGTATTTCAAGACTTTCATTTTTCTCTACTCTTGAGTGGCAGATGTCCGCGAACAACAGAACTGGCTATTGGCAGAAATGTTATTAAACACAAATAAGCTTGGGCAGGGGAATAACAAGGGGAGTTTTGGGGGCTTTTTAGCATGTTTGTTGCAGCAGCTTCGGGTGTTACTTTTAACAACAGCAGGGGTGTTCTTGCTGCTTGTTTTGGGCTTGCTTTTCTCTGTGAAGTTGTGTCCTGTGTTAGTGCACTAGTTTGATTTGAGGGATTTATAACCAGAATAATCAGTTTTAAACTGATAGCTCCTGCTGTTCATGTGCTGCTTTGACAGTGTATTTTCCTCAGAGAGCATTTTTATAAAGCAACACTTGAGACCTTGTAAAAGCACTTGGTAAATATTGCACATAGGTGGCAGACTTCAGAAAGTTGGAATCCTGATCCAGCAAGCAGTTAAACATACGGACTTTATGCAGGGAGTAATTCCAGCTTCAGTCAGCAAAATGCCCAAGTTTACATTCTTTGCTGAGCTGGGACTTTAATATTAAATTTGTAACTCCATATGATTAAGTCTTACAGTTTTGTGAGTGTGGTTTTACAGCTTTTTTACTTCTAATACAGAGAAAGTTTGCATGGCATCAGCAGCTCAGATGTTTGGAAATTTGAGGTCATAAACTATCAGAGGAATTCCTTCAGTTAGGCAGAGTTTTTATAGGAGTTTGAATTGCCTTAAGTTCTTAAAGGAAAATCACAACTTTTTATGCTTATGATTTAAAGACTTGTCCTCTAAACCTGCTTCAGAACATAAATTGTGGGCAAAGTGTGCTTTTAGGAGTTATAATATGCAGTTGTCAGGAAGTTGGGCAGCACTGCTCTGCATGTTTTCTCCCTTGGGTTTGTGATGTTAGAGGATTGGGAAATCGTAGCTATAAGACGTAGGATGATTCCTCTCTATCTGCCTTATTCTTCTTCCTTTTCTCTGTTGAACCTCCCCTGCCACTCAAACTAAAAAAAGGTGTGGGAAAGGAAGTGTTTGCTCTCTATATGCATTTGTAAACCATTTTGTTCTAATAAAGGAAAGGTGAAGCTTTGCGTTGAAGTTAACATGGAATTCGATAATAGTTGTGATGCTGCCAGTGTGGTATCATCAACAGAGTAGTAGACAGTGTTCTGACAGGGGCTGTGAAGTACATTCACTATACTGATGCCTGTACAGCATGCACTTAGGAAATTAGATGAAAAGACTTTGCTTTTCCAGGTATGTTCTAATAAATGGTTAAATGTGAGGTGTTTGAAGCCTGTATTGGGAGAAAAGTAGTGCTTTGTAGATGAAAAAAGCAGTTGGGTATTAATCTGCTGTAAAATCTTTCATCTTGTTTATAGTTACCTGTTTCTGAAAAGTAATGAAAAAAGTATTCTAAATGAAATATAAACCTCCACAATAGGTTTGTCATACTGGCCTAAAAGACTGATTTACCTGGAAGGAGAGGTGTTCCAGAAGAAAAAGTACTCATCCACTTTAAAAACTGCCTTCTTGGGTAGATAATGTTGTGGGTATTTTTTCCCCTTTATCTAGGGACTGTTGTTTGTTTGGCACTGAAATGGCCAGATCAGGTTGTGTAACACGCTTTTGTAGTTGTGTTGTTGGAAAGCCTGTAGACAGATAATCTTAAAAGTACATATTTCTGGAGTTAATCGTCCTGCTGCTGTGTATGACCAAAATGCCTTATTTTGGCTGCGTAGTGTATTGCTACTAGGAGCTTATCCGTAACTAGTAGGGAACAGTCCCAAATAGTAGTTGAATTTCTCTTTGGAGGTTTTGTTGTGGGAGTGAGATTGAGATGAGGGGTAGCAAGACTGTGTGTTGTTAACATTCAGCTTATTTATTGCATGTGAATATAGCTATCATTTTAGCTAGAAACTGCAAAACCTGCTTGATGTCAGCATACATACAATAAATTAGCAATGTGTTCTTCAGTTAAGCAGGTTTCCTATGTATTTGTTATTCAGGAGAGTGTCCATTTTACTGTATTTTGTAAAAGCTGAATAAGAAACAACTGCAGACCCAGTGACAGTATTTAAAATGTTAAACCTCTTAGAAGTTGAAGTTACTTTTTTCCCATCTCCTTTTCATTGTTACTTTATAGTTTGCATCATGCAAATCCTTTGAAAAATGCGCAGCCAAAATAACATGCTGGTTAACAGCAGGATTTTATCACTCCACGGGCAATTCAGAGTGTTGAGTTTAAAGAAATCTGTCAAAGGAAGTGTTATTTTTAACATCTTAACATCTTTTAACATATTTGTCTCAATAGCAGGGTGTTTCAAAACGAGACTGCAGGACTGTAAGGTCATCTTCATTTTTTAACAAAAGAGGTGCAACTTGACCTCGGAGCTTGATTTGACTCAATACAGTAAAAGTACACCTACTCGTTTTTATCACTTTTAAGTGAAGAAGCATGTAAAAATACAGGTGGAAATGGTGAATAGAAAACACAACTTGTTGCTTTTAGTACTGTTAATATGGTCTGTCAGGTTGTAAAGTAAGTAATACCTTTTTCTTTTCCCCTATGTACCCAGCATGTCAAATGCAGCTGGAATGAATAAATGTTTCCTGATGCCTTTCCGTGATCTTCTCAGTAGTGAATATCCATTTGGGAAGATACATGTCACCACAGGCTTATTTACTACATTATGTGAACAAATATACTATATCAGCGAGCAAATGCATAAAAAGAAATTCTCAGTTTTCGCTTCCAAATGAAACTGTCTCCCCACAGAGAAATCTCTGTTCCTTGCAGCAGAACAACTGGAAAGTGGTCCAGAAGTCTTTCAGCCATAGGCAAGTGATCGTTACAGTAATCTCTTGTGGGGCTCGGAAAGTGGTGAAGTACCCTGGAATAAGACACGTTTAAGACAACCTACCGGTGTGTAGTTTCAGCAGTGAAATATGGAGCCTGAAATAGGTGTTAACAATTGTATTTTCTTTACTTGACCCCTTGAGAGAGCTTGGTGGGGTTTGGCTGAAAACCAGGTGCTGTGTTCAAGCTAAGCTTTTGTGGGAATGTTCCAGGAAGGCCTAACAAGCTTGCTTATGGGTAGAATTTTAATGTTACTACATCTATCAGGGTCATTTCAGACCTTCAGCTTTGACTAGTTTGAGTCATACAGTGTGTGCTTGAGTGACAAAAATAAGCAGAGTTAAAAACAGCTGAGAGGAATTCTCTTCTCATATTAAGTTGCCTTTGCTCCCCAAAGCAAAATGTCCTTCAGAATTTTAGGATGGTTTACATTTACTACAGCCTTAATAAATGTTTGTGAAATGTCAGTTTGCTGTCTCAGATGTGCACTTTTTTTTGTATCCCTTGTGGTTCATTGTTATTTCCTCTCCTGCAGTCCCCCATCCTCTACCTTTTGTATTCAACATCCCTTGCAACTGCAGTCTTCTTGCAGGCGATTTTCCATAGGAGAGAATCTCCATGTCAGGCTAAGAATGAGGATGTTCTGTAAGGAGTTTAGATTTAACTCTTGCGTGTGATCCGAGGAGGGCATACTGCAAAGCAGTCAGAACTTCTGGTTAGTGAAGTTGCAGTCTTGAGAAATGGAGAACCTATAATGACTAAAAAAGCTTTAGGGTTGTTTTTTAATATTCTAATGTAGTTCACTGTTTATTGTTTTTGTTTTCTATATTAAGGAACTGTTCCTCGTTTATGGAGCGGAACATTTAGTCTTTTATTCTTAACAAATTGACCTTTTTATCCTTAGACTTGAATTTTTGGTCTCAGAATATACTCCCATCAAGAGTAACTCCTAAA